AAGGCTAAACGCTTTTATAACATCAATTGTGGGCGTGGCAAGTCGAAAAAACTTTGGGAGTTGCGTAGCAGGAATTGGAGTCTGGGGTGGTCTGCTGCCAGTCTTTGGAAAGTCCTCAGATTAATGACACTGCGCGATTTTTACGATTGTTTCTCCAAGTTACAAAAAAAAAAACAAAACAAAGTTACGAGGCATTTGGCATTTTTTTCTCTCGGTTTTTTTTCTTTTTGAAATTTATGAAATTTTACCTTTTGGCCAAGCAATTTGCTCCATTTACATTCTTTATTAGCCAAACGGCGAGTTAGCGGCGCTAAAAAGTTTTTTTCTTTGCATTTTCTGCTCTTTTCTTTGTTTTGTTGCCTTTGTTGGGCAAGGAATTTCTTCATCGTATGCAAGCTATATAAAATCGGCATACAAAAGATAAACCCAACAACAGGCGGCTGGCGGGGGGCGGGCGTTACAAAGTTTTCTTTCTATGCAAGGTAATGATGGGTTGCGGAGGCAGGGGGGGTTGGTTAAAGGCCAATATTTAACTCTGAGTCATGGCCAAAGTCGAACTGAAAATACAAACTTTGTCAATTTGTTTGGTAGCATACGAATAAAATTTAACAAAGCTGAATTTTAAGATGATCAAAGAAGTTGATGTGGATGGAGCTTGGAGATTCTGACAGAAAATTAAAATAAGCTGAATGACCTTTTAATATTGTTAATTATATATAAATATTAATTAGCAAATCAAAGGATTTGTTTATAAACAGAAAGTAAGTTCAAGGCTGCGTAAAGTGAACTTCATATGAGATTTGTTTCAAATTAATTTGCCAAAACAATAGACAATAGATTGTCTTCTTAAATGCCATGTACACTATATACTATAATAATTAATAAAGGATACATAGAATACGTTTAAATAGATCTGACTAAGATGGGTTTTGGCCAAGTCTAGCTTGAGTTTTCAAAACAGCATCATTCGTTTATCAGTGCCCTAAAAAACTGCATCTCTTAAAGAACTTACCCACCAAGAGCAGAACATATTTAGGAAAATATTTAAATTGAAGATTAACCAACTTAACTTATGCTATTTAATTGGCAAACATTATTTACTTTGTTATTAAATTGTTAAAAATGTGAAGAAAACATTTAGTTTTTGTAAATGTGTGCAATTTCAGCCTTAACACAAACTGATTGCAGTTGTGTCTCTTCAAGCATACTATTGCATATTATTTATTATGGCCAACACCAACAGCAGCACCCAAGTTGGCAGCCCCCATTCAGCATCACCTCTGCCCCCCGCCTCCACCTCCGCTACCCCCATACTATTCGTCATCCACATGGGGAATTTAATAAATTCATCATCTTTCATTTAGTTGCTGCAGCCAAGTCTGTTACATGGCTGTCCCTTAAATAAAAGGAACAAAAAAAGAAGTAAAATGAAAGGAAAAGAGAAGGAAAAATTATATAAATGTGTGTAGTAGTAGAAAGAAGGGAAATCACCAGGAAAGAAATAAAGCGAAGTAAAATTTTCGCAGACAACGTGCGCTGAAGATGAGCGCAGTCGACGCTGTCGATGGAGGCGTGGCAGCGACCTCGACGTCAACGTTGACGCCGGCGTCGGCATTGGAGTTGCCCAAAAAAGCAAAAGCAAAATCGTGACTGTCATTTCAACGAAGCGAAGTTATTTTTCATGACAAAGCAGCCGAGGAGTCGTCCTCCGACTCATTTTGCCAGACGGCGGCAAAGCAGATAATGGGCGACAGGGATCGGCGGAGCAGTTGTACGGGCCCAAAAACGGATAGGCGGACGGGGTAGAGTGATAGCTGTACAGGCTACATGTTGTTCCCAGTGCGAGTCTGGGGCCAGGGCACAAGTGCAGTGCGGAGCGGAGCGGAGCGTTGCGCGCCTGCGAGCATTCCAGCGTTAAAATACCTTTTACTGGCACATTACCAGCAACGCCGCGCGCTGCCCAACCATCGCCAACACCAACAACACACACCCACCCGACCACCCGCCCACCCACTTACCTACCCGCCCGCCCAGCAACTAAGCCAAACCGCCGCCGCTGAAGCTCAACAAAATGCACCTCTGCCAGCGTCGCTGTCGGCGTGGCTGCGTTTTTCATGAAATTATTACGACTTTGGAAATGGGGTCGTACAAAATGTCGTTACGTTCAGAGGCTCCCCCATCTGTGTGCCCAACACCCCCCCCCCCCCTTTCTTTCCCCTGGTTGCCCCTACTTCATAGCGTTACCCTTTCACTTGTCCCTCGTTGGCTCAACGTTTCGCCGCCGTTCATTTTAGTTTATTGTTGAAAATCTTTTGATTGTATCTGCGGAAAATGTTTGGAAATTGGTTAAAGTTGAAGCCGAAATTGAGAGCCATGATGCAAGCTGACAAACTACCAGTGTGTGTGTGTGTGTGTGTGTGGGCGCTTGAGATTCTTTAAATTCGATATAACATGTCAAACACGATATTCCGCGCTTCACAGAAAGACAAAATCTAATTGTTAACATATAAAAGATCAATATGAAGTGAGAGAGAGACCGAGATAGCGGAAGAGAAGCGGTGAGAGATCAAGGGAGAAGGAGTGATAGAGATAGGAAGAGATCGAAAGCGAGAGGGAAGTTGAAAGAGCTAAAGAAAGAGAGAATAGAGTGGGATAGACGGAGAGAGGGCGAGGACAAGATAATGAGACAGAGACAGAGAAGGAGAGAATGTTAGAGAAATAGTTATTGAATAGGGAGAGATTATCGTGACCCATCGCCTAAACTGACCCACGAATATTACTCTCCTCTTTTCCTTTGTCTCACTAAAAAGAGAGTGATAAACAAAGAGAGAGATTGACAAAGAGGCAGATAGACAGAGGGAGGGGAAAGACTGCATAAGCGGAGACAACGAGAGAGTGAGATACAGAGATCGACCTCCCTCTTTCAGAGAGAAAACATATTAGCGAGAGAGTGATAGAGAGAGGGAGATAATGTGGGCGACAGAGAAAGTGCAGTTAAAGGGTAGTTGAATGGGAAGAGATATTCTGTCCTCAATCGCCTTAACTGACCCATAAAAATGTCTCTTCTCATCTCAACTCGTCTACTCACTGAGAAATGTTTGTCGCGCGCTCGTAAAGTTCGCATTAAAGAAATATGTGTATAAATAAAAAAGTGAGAGACATTACTTTTATTTTTTATACACCAGGTACTTGCAGACAGCACACATATTTCTTTTCTTATTTTTCACTTTTCGTTGTATTTTTTTTATATTTTCGTTTTTGTTATTCGACTTTCTCGCAAATGAAGTTGCCCGGCATCGTCGCCATCATCTTGGTCAGAGCTTCACACGTCATCATCATTCGAGAATGTAATAAGCGTGAAATAATTGACATTTAAGCAAAGCGCACGCACATAGACAATGGAACCAAGACACAAGCCGCTGGACAAGTCTAGATAGCATCTTCGCCCTCCTTGCCCAGCCCTGCCTTGTTCCCCCCCAAAGCTGTTCGCTTTGTAGGCCAACTCCAGCGCACAGTGGAGCCCAAGCGCAACGTTTAAATCGAGAATCATGACAGATAACCGCACGTACTCACTTCTCTCTTACTTTAATGTCCCACGAACGATACGCAGTCGAAGCTTGGAGCTGGACCTTGAGCTGGAGTTGGAGTTGGAGAGTTGCGGACGCAGTCTGTGATTCTTGTGGGGCTACGTTTCTGGGTCATGAACCAAAAATGTAAAATAATAAGTTGGCTTTAGAAAAAATGTCTCTCGTGCCCGCACATCCCCCTCCTTATACCCCCCTTTCGCTTACCTATTTGCCAAATTTTTTTTGAGTTCTTGTCGATTTGTTTTTGGCACGTTGAAGTACCTGTGCGCGAAAAAGGTGGAGGGGCAGCGGCGGCGGCAACGTGAAACATCTGTCAATGCGACACGTGATGTGTTTGCAAAATTTGTACACACACACCCACACACACACTCACCGCAAATTGCCGTTTAAAGTGTGTGATAGTTGGGTGCCAAGGCAATCAGATTAGATGCCAAATGATAGAGCGCCCGGCATTTCATAGAAATATTGCAGCAGGTTGAAAAGAACTAGCTGGACCATTATTATAATAATTCTCTATACATATATTAAGCTGTTTGTCGTGACAGACTGACTGACCGATTGGTGACCAACGCACAGGAAAAGCCTTAGGAGTTTTCTAGCTTCGTTTTGCACAGCATTTGGGGAATTCCTTCCATTACTTAATTTCGGCTTCAAGCTTATTTCCAAACATATTTGTGAAGACATTTATTTATGTTTCACTCTTTTCCACAACTGCAGCACTTGCATGGACTTTGCTTTGATGTACGAAATTTCCAGATTCAAATTAATTTTTTAATGTCTTTATCAGAAAATATGGAATTTGGAACAGTTTAACTGACGTGTGTGAAAAAAGTTGCAAGCTCTTGATTGCACGTTGTCCCGCAAAGTACATACATACATACATTTTCTCCACTATCTGTCTGCTATTAATTATATTATATTATACTAAAAGACTGAGAATCTGTAGAAATTCTAAGCGTAGTCACAGTATACTTTCATGGGGTAGTCTGCTATACAGATTCTGCACCTGGTAAGATTCAGATATTCTTAGCTCATTAAAGAAAGGTTGGGTTATATTTAATATTCACATAAATTTTTATCATATTGTAAATGATCATTCTCCGACTAAATTGGCACAATAGGAATGTTTTGTTTAGCAACTGCAGAGATCGAAAACAAGTCTCGCATCTATCTATGTAATTATATAATATTTTTTATCCATTTATTTATATAGTTATTTCTATCTATATCTACGTTCAATTCAAGCTATAGCTATATATATTACAGCTAAGCCAATTATATCTTCAAGTTGACGATATTTCTGCTTTCTGCTGTCAGCTATGACATATCAAAGCTACACATTGTAATTCTTTTTCTTATGCACATGCCCATTTATGATATACCCACTTATTCTTCTTCTTCTTTTTGCTACAGTCATCACCATCAATGACCCCAACTAACTCGTAAATGGTAAGTGCAAAATTGTCTGTAAAATGCATTTTAAACTCACAATCAGAATCAGGGGCGTAGCAATCCGCCTCCTTCACCCATTACAAAGAACATTGCATAAAACACCCTCCAATGCACCCTCAACCTCGCCCTCGCCCTCAAGCTCGCCTTCGCCCCGACCTTAACATCGACGTTTGTCACGCCCCACACGCCCCGTGTTGCGGCGCCAACTAAATTGCTTTGCAGCTCAGCATCAGGCAGCAGCTTTACCTATAAACCAAAATGAATGACTGAACGGACTAGGGTCGGGTAGGGCCAGGGTATCTGGTGTGAGGTTGCAATATAAACGGCTGTGAATGCAAATAGATGCGATGCGAGTATATGCAAAAATCTCATGCTGACTGAAACCTCGTCATCATCAGCAGCAGCGCCAGCCGGAAAATGCAATCGCATCGGGTGGTCATAATATGCTTGTCGGGTGGAGTTTTGCGTTCTGCTGGAATATTTTTAGGGGGTGGGGGGGGGCAATGTTAAGGGGTTGACGTGTGGTCTTATCGCGAGGTCGTCCACAACGGACACAGGCAGGGGCCAGTTGTTGGTGTTAAAAAATACTGGCCACAGGCAATGTCATCATCGCCATGCCCATCGTCATCATCATCATCGTGTGAAGCTCTAAATGCAACATTTTGTTTTTTTTTTTCTTTTCCCCCCCATTAACTTTGACCACGCGTAAAATCGCTCCAGCCCCCCACTCCTCAAGCGTGGCGCTCTTCTCTGCCATTTGGCTGAGTTTTTATTAGAATTTCCTAGTGGGTTTGGCAGCAGCAGCAGGGGCATGACTTTCGTGCTTATGTGATGAATCAATCCGTAGCGACACCGCCGCATTTAGCGGTTGCAGGCAATGCGACTTCTATCGCATTACGCCATCTGCCGGCAGTTAAATGAGTTAAACATAGACCCCATTACGGCTAGCATACAGAGCGATGGTCCGTTAGAGCTTCAGCCCCATTAACAGCTTGCAGCTTAACAGATTAATGCGACCCACTTGCGTGGGCAAACAGCGTAATCATTTGCAGCCAAATTGCCCAGTGGCTCCTCCGTAACATGAACCACTCAGTTGCATGTTAACGTTGGGGTTTTCATATCGAAGCGGGTTAACAAGTTCAATTTTTGACTCAAAGATCAGCAAATGGCGTTTTTTGGCATAACACATAAGATTTGGGTAACTTTATCTGAACAAAGGGCTCTGTGAAACTAGGATTAATTAAAAACTTATCAAGACAACTAAAAACAGAAACTTTAGTTTTAACTTGAAAATTCTTACAGATCACTAGCTGCAAATTATTTATACACTTGTGTATAACTTGCAGAATGAAGTATCTTCGTCCCCATAAGGTAAACATGTTCTTGATCAGGTCGACGAGCTGAGTCAATCTAGCCATATCCGTCTGTCCGTTCATCTATCTGCTCGCTTCGAAATCAAACACTTTAAAAGCTAGAGACTTGAAATTGAAAAAAAATATATTTGTTCCCATTCCACACGCAGAAAGCATTTATTATTAATGTCAATATCCCATTCCTTTTCTAAAATATCGATAAAAAGCGATTTTGAGAATATCACCAAAATTCCAATTTCTGTGCCTACCATGATACAGAAACTCCATATCACAAAGGGAACCTCAACATAAAAAGTTGGTCCGAAACATAAAACCCAACTCAGCTATATAAATTGGACTTGCATCCCTGATTAAGATATTTGGTACCCAGTGAACTTTGCACAAATATTAATCAAAAGCTGCTAGCACCATTAAACTTAATTTAATTTAATTAACTTAAAATTTTTTAAATTTAAGCTTTTATCCTTAAGCTTTGGATGAATCCTGAAACTTTTTCGCGCAATTCGCTTTCGAGCTGAAAGCTGTTATTAAAGCTCTTAGCTTAAAAGCTTTTATTCCTGATTAAACGTTGAATTAAGTGCAGCTTTCGACTAGCGTCTTAATTTTGTAAAATTTATATTTAAAAATATAGACTAAGTATACGTATTAGATGACTCGCAATTAACAAGTGTTTATGCAATTAGCCTTCATTACAGCCCCTTTCACTCCTGCCCCAACGGCAATTGCTGCCAACACGTGTTTATGTTGTTTATATGCTTTTGCTATTGTTGGTGTTGTTTTTAGCCATGTTTGCACAACAGACACCAGGGCCATAAATATTGTACGTTGCCTTTAATATGCAGTAAGCTGTTGAATTTATTTGTACAGCTCAACAAATTCCAATGATTTTTTCATAACTGATTTGGCATCGCGGCTCAGCGTCCCGCATGCTGCCACAACCTCTCTCCTCCCCGCCCCCCTTCGCACACCCAGTGCTAGTTAACCACTTGGCATGTATTTTAAATCATGACATAAACACTTTCGCACATCCCAAGCTGCAATACAACCAATTCAGCCAACACTCGACAGCTATTTTGTTTATTTATTCGTTTGTTTGTTGCTGTTGCCAATGACTTTAATGATTTTTGTGGTCAGGGTTATGCAATTGCAGCAAGGGACACGAATTCAGCTCATCAGCAGCAGAACGCGCTACAAATATTTATATATATGTGTGTGTATATCTATAGACATATATTTGCTATCTGATATTTGATATGCGTTAGTGTGTGTGGCTAGCAATTAGCACAGCGGACCGATGGGCAAATGGAGCTGGTGCACACAAAAAAATAAACACTAAGAATGTTGCAGTCAGGTGCAACCGACTGTATAATACTCGTTCACAGTCCAAGCACGGTTTGAAAATATGCTGCTGTTCAATTTCTTAAAGATATATCAAATGATCTGATTCATCGATTTACCGATTGATCAACCTTTTGGAGAAACTTGCGATATCCACGCACCTACGCGTAGCCTCAAATCTCAACTATCTCAGTGAATATTTATTCACGAGTATTTATACCAAGTTTTATTTCCCAAACTAATGAAATTAAGTTCATACGATCTGCAAAGCCAATATACTCTTTTCACTTTGTAATAGAGTATAAGTATTACTTGTCTTTGGATTTCCAAGGATGAGCTACACTTGCAGGCATATAAAAGATTCGATCGACTCAATGCTCGGCGGATTGTTCCTATGGAAGCTAACTTTCCACTGATTATTTCTATAAGAACTTACAAATAAATTGTCTCGATGCTACCGACTGCGATTAATACATTCTCGAAAGCAAATAGACGTAATTTGACATATTTGCAATAGAATAGCCTTAAGCTGAGAGACAAACGGACAGATGCACGTGACTATATCGACTCGCCTGTTAATAAAGACCCAAAATGGATATGCTTGTTACATACAGCATAAAGTAAAGAATCTATAATACGCTCTGTTAGGGTATAGACTTTATCTAATCGGCTTTACAGAACGCTTGTTCGTTTTAGCCAAGGCTCTCCTATCTGTCAGCGCAAATATTGTCAGAAGCTGCCAGCGACGACGGCGAGAAGGAGGAGGAGGAGTTGGACGAGGACGTCGTGCTGTCGTCCAAGTTATCAGATTTCAGTGGAGAACGGTAGAAAGATTTCGCTGTAAACCGAACTGTGCAATTATTTGCACAACTAATAATTCACTTTAGTGTTTCATTTAGTGCAAATATTGATAATGCCGCTCTCAAATGCAGCAAAACCTCGTCTATTAAGCGGAGAGAGGGAGAGAGGGAGCGGAAGAGACAGAGGGCGAGGCATGTGTCTCCTATCTGTGAGAGGCCCAAGTAAATAATCAGATGCACAGCATTAGCTTGTTTTATTTAATATTTCTTGGCTTTTTTTTCGTCTTTTGCATTTTCCAAAAGTCATCAACATGAGTTGGCCAAATTTAGCGTTTCATAAAAACGAAAATGTTGTAAAACTTTAAATTCCCCCCGGATGATGTTAAATACCCAAAGCCAAACAATTCACAATTTTGTGTTTTTTCACTGCTCAGTTCTCAGATCTTAGATTTAAGATCGTGGATCTTGGCATGCAAGTCATGCGGCCGGCCTTTGGGGGAGGCCTCGTCGAGCATTTTAGATATTTTTATTGGGGTCTCCCCACATGCTCTGCGCGCGCGTATGTGTGCGTGTGTGTGTGTGTGTGAAATGTCAACATCATGTGGCATGAAGAACTCCATAAGCCGCTTACTGCTGTTAGCAGTTGCCCATTTTTGGTTAGCTGTGACGATGCGACGGCCTTGAGCATCTCTTTCGGTTTGTTTATTGCTTCGTCTAAGCGTTCAATTGAACTGACAAAGCGCAAAAAAAAAAAACAAAAACCAAAAAAAAAACACAGCACGAACAGAGCTTTCATTGATAGCAACACTTCCCTTGATGATTGCCGACGACATTTCAAGCTTGACGCTGAGAACTGAATTATGCGCCACTTGTTAACCATCAGTCAACATCAAATGCGCTGCTTTAAGTTAAATACAAAAGCAAATTTGCTGGCAATGCATTTCAATTAAGCTTTGATTCAATTTTAAATGTAGTCAGTTTTGGCTTGAGTTAAGAACTTAGCGGTTAAGTATTTCTATATTTCCAGCTTCGATTAAAGTTTGAGCAGTTGTCTTTCTGCGAATTGAACTATTCACTTTTAGTCATCACTCAATTGGAATATTCTTATTTTAATTGCAGCATGAACGCAGAAATTGTTTGCGGTGCTTTCAATGAATCTGGGCTTCTATTGAAGACAATGAGAATTGAACAAAAACGTAATCATTCAATTTATACTATTAAGAGGCAAATTTGATCTTAAGGCTGTGCATTTCAATCAGCCTTCGCTTGATATTGAATTTCAATTCAATTTAAATTTCAATTTTTAATTAAAGTTCACCTTTTAAATAATCTCATGACTAAAGCTAGACTAAGCTTGCAAAGCTGTGCATTTCAATCAAGATTTTATTTGACCGAAATAATTTTGTGGAATTGAATTTTAGGGCTATGTACTTGAAACAACCTTTGCTTGAATTTCAATTCAGTTTGAATTTCAGTTTTCAGACAACTTTCAAACGTTTTCAAAAAATTTCGTTGAGAATTTGACTTTTTTAATATATTTATGACTTCAGCTTGAATATGCTTGCAACGTA